GACTCTGTCAATTCTGAATTGTTCAGTTTTGACTCGATTTCTCTGTGGAGTTTTTTTTTTTACTCATAATTAAAATTGATCATTGATGTTTTTTGTTCTCTTAGCCAATTTGTCTGATTGTCTTCAGGCAGCCTGCTGCAGAAATCAGGGAAGACTCCTGTCCTCCAATGATAGGTGAAAATCGTAAAGGATCTAAACGTGCTTTCACTCGTAGTTTAAGAGAGGGATGGAAAAGGTCCTTTCATCAGCAGCTGCGACAGATTAAAGGGTAGAAGCCCAAAGGACAAGAAATGAGTTATTTTGAATGGAATTGGATAGAAGCCAGGCACCCCGTAACGCCCACCAGCCACACTAAGCGCGAGGGAAGACGTTGCCACAGAAATGTTGTGCAGTGGAGAAGGAATTTCCCCAGCGTTAGCCTGGCCCTGCTCTACAGCTGCTTTGCTCTTGCCGAAGATGCGCACCGAAACAGGGACGCGTGTGCTTGTTTACGGGAGCCTCCCGAGAGCCGAACCGGAGCCAAGCGAGAGCCTCGGCTCCTCCGGACACACAGCCTGCGACGTCCATCTCCCCTCGGCTGGTGGGAGCACGTCCCCGTCCGACCCCAGCGGGCGGCAGGTACTGACTCACCGGCCACGCTCCGCTCACCCACAACGGCTGTTACCATCCCGGCTTCATGCTTCCCAGTCTCTGGCGTGGCCGGATGAAGACGTAAGCCTCAAAGTTGTCTTAAAGAATGAGTTATTTGCTAGCAACGCTAGTTATTTTTTCCTACGCGTTTTTTTGGTTTTATTTGTTTGAAGTTAAGACACATGGCTCCAAAAAGTAGCAAGCACTTCATCCTTAAGCAAGTGTCAATCTGGCACTGCAGTCTCTCAGGAGACGTGACGGTTCTTCTGTAGTATTTGCTTTTTCAGCAAATGGGCAGAGAAAGTTTCAATGCAACTCAACGGCGGCAGAGGCAGTTTCGATGACAACAATTAAACCTGCAGGGTTTTTTTCCTAATGGAACCACCTCCTTCCCGCAGGAACCAAATACATCTTCTACACCGCGTAATTAGATGCACAGGTACAACGGGGAGTAAAGGCAGCTTTGTCCTGCCTTTGCCATGCCAGCGCGGCACTTCGTGTCAGCGAGGGCAAAACGACTTCAGTAAATCATTCCTTCTCCATCCACCTCTTCCATCCCCTCCGGTCAACAAGGAGACTGCTTTTGCCTCCAAATTGTGTAATATTTTCCTGCTAAGGGGTGTTGAATCGTCTCAGGTTTTAATGGTGTTTACCCCGCTGAGCATAGTGGGGTGCTGCCAGGAGCTGGGCTCAGATTCTGCTGCTATTTGTGACCTTTTTTATCATTTTTTTCTTTTTTAGGCTTTGTCAGTAGGAGTTAAGTGAAAATTAGGCTTTGTACTTTTACAGTGTGAACTGTTGTGTATTCCCTCTGGCGAAGGGCAGCGGGCGTCGGCACAGCAAGAAGGACAAATATTTTGTCAAGGTCCCACGAGCAAATTCTCTATTCAAATTAAAATTGCAAATCCGATGCTGAGAATACTGAGTCAGCACTGCTGGTTGAGATCTAGGAATAATATCTGATATGGTTTCCCGGATATTTTCCAATATACACAAATACTAAATGCCTTTGTCAAGCGGAGTTTAACAGATACAGCAGTGCTTTGCTTGCCATAAAAATAACTGTTAGAATGAGAGCTGGCAAGTCTCCTACCAGACCTAATACTCATTTGTTTTGATGTATTTGTTGAAGTATTCACGGTGATGACAAACAGGACTCTGTTTGCTAAACATCTATTGTTTTCCGTGGTATCTGCATGGTGAAGGAAGGAACAAATACGTGTTTCACTTATGACGTTATTCTCCTGAAACGCTGTTTCTATTTTACAGTAAACATGTTTCTATTTTACAGCAAACACGTTTCTATTTTACAGCAAACACTAGTCTGTCCTGGTGGATCACAGCTTTTTTCCTGCTACAGAAAGCAGTTTCCTCTGTGGGGTTAAATCTCCAGAGTAGCTCCCTCAGTCAGCCACAGGCCGTACATGCTGCAGCCTCTCTACTATCACTACTAAAGACCCTGAGCTGCCCTGCCCTTGCACAGCTCCAGGGAACCATCAAAGGTGACAAAGGTGGGGTGTTTCTGGCCAATGCTGCTGCAAACCCGACAGAAAAACTAGCTCTGGAAAGCCTGGAGCGTAACAACAGCCACTATTTACTAATCCACCCTGGCCCCAGACCCCTATTGGGAAACAATGAGACAACGCCGGCCGGCCGGCGGGTGAGAACCGGCCCCAGCCCTGGCAGCCCAGCACGGCCAAGGACGCGGTGGCAAAGGGGCATTCAGCGAGTGAATCAAAAGAGGAGCTGTTACAACGGAGCTGGGATTCAACAATAAGATTTTATCCAACTGTGATGTTTCTGAGATTTTCGGGTTTTGACTGAAAATCACTCAGTAAAAGCGACTTGCTTGCCAGGCAGTGAGACATGAATGACACCTGTACCAGTGCTGCAGACTGCTCTGTTGTCAAATTGGACTCAGAAAGCGATGCTCAGCCAGCAGTAACCAGCCAGGATCCAACCTGACACCAGTGCTACTGGTTTACAACTAGCCCTAAGCGTTTATTGAAGTGAATAGGAACTACTAATGCTATGAATTGCTTCTGAACAAGAGTGAGAACTTCTTCCCTCTGAGCGTGACGGAGCCCTGGCCCAGGCTGCCCAGGGAGGCTGTGGAGTCTCCTTCTCTGGAGATATTCCAGCCCCACCTGGACGCGGTGCTGTGCAGCCTGCTCTGGGTGACCCTGCTTGGGCAGGGGGTTGGTCTGGGTGACCCACAGAGGTCCTTTCCAACCCCTACCATGCTGGGATTCTGGGATTCTGTGAATCAGAAAAAAACCGATGCTCTTCAGGAAAGAGAAGGGAAAACCAATCCGGACGCTAGAGAAGAGTGCTAATTTCATTAAAGGATTATCCTTTGTAGAGGATTTTCTCTTTTACAAGGTTGAAAAACTTCCCATCTTTGCCGGAGCTCTCTGGGGAGCACCCAAAAGCGCCCAGCGCTGGAGGGCTGTCTGCGCTCCGCGGGGAGCAGGAGAGGGGCTCCTCCAGGGCCTGACTCTGGGCACCCGTCTTCAGCCCCATCCCCTGCCCCAGGGAGAATCTACTGCCTATAGAGGCACCTGGAAGAGATCAAGCCTTTAAACACTGCTCCCCTCCTTCCAATTCAGCAACGTACTTCAGCTCATCATCTTCTCGCTTCAACAGTCTACTTTAATATGCAGCATTGGCACTAGTTTAACTACTTTATCTTTCATCAGCATAATTGCAATGGATAATCAGTCATGGCAAGAAAATGCCTAAAGCATTTCTTAGGCTTCGGGTTCGGGCTTCCAATCAAAAGTCTGGGGGTTGGTTTAAAGAACACGGATGCGATATTTTGTGTAACTAATTTCTTTAATGGCATAAAATCACAAAAAACTTTTCCCGCACATAAGGCAAAAGAGCTGGTGCTCTGTATGCTTTGACATAGTATTCTGAACACACTGTTATCACAAAATAAGTTCTTTTCTAAATTGGTTTTATAAAAAGGCTAAATCAGCATGGGCATTTGGACCCTTGTAATGGATATAGAAAAAGTTAACCTGTAGAAAAAAACAAACACACACGTAAATTGTTGTGTTCCTATGGACTAGCTTGGCCCCTAATTTTACTGAGCGAGGTGGAATTCTGTAACGAGCCTTCAGTTTTAACTGTCAGCATTTAGCCCCAGGAATGAAAGCGAAGGACAGGACAGACATAAACAGGTATCACTCTGATAGCTCTTTAAAGCTAAAACAATACACATAAGGATGTTTTTTTAACTACGCACATATTGAGACCTATCAAAATCTAACTATCTCTGGACATTTGTACAGATCCTACGAAATGAGAAATGTTCCAAGGCATTGAACGCAGAACTAACGCTGCCTACGCCTTCATTAGATTGTCCAGCTCTTACACAGGTGGCAGAAACCCAGCTGTCCGAACCTCTAGCATTGCTCTGAAAAACACAACTGGAAAGTATTAATAAGGCACGTTTCTCTTCCTCATTACAGCAACTGATCCGTTCTGCACAGAAAAAAAAAGATTGCTCCTGTTCAGAGCATCTACAACAGGAAATGACTTGGATCAGAAAGGCTACTCTGTGACCACACTGGGCACAAGAATTGCATAGACGGAATCCCATTCAGAAGTCTAAATGCCCCAAGATTTTCACATCAAAACTCTGGATATATTTTCATGTCTAAGCAACATTCCGTCAAGGGATGCTGCAGGTGCCATTACAGCTCGAAAACAACCCCGTTATCACTGCTATGAAAACAAACTCGCTCATTTTCTACTGTCAAGAACTCCCAGTGCCATTTCCTAAGGTCCTTCTCAGGACATGACAAGCCTGTCAGCATTCCATCCCCTCAAGTGTCAAAGCTCTACCTTTGTCGTGCATCTCAACGATGAGAGCTTCCTTCTGCAGATCCAGGGAACAGACAAAAGCCACCACTCCTGTTTTCAGTGCTCGTCTCCTTGCACAAAGAAACGTAACTCAACGCAGTATTTCATATCAGGCTCACCCAGCTTTGTTAGTCTGACTTCTCATGCTAATGAGAACTCTTTCAAAAATCCTCTTTTTTCTCCTCATATGCTCCCTGACAGCGAGACAGAATGAGCACGCATATGCCCAGAAAGCAGCTAACAAGAGGAAAAAGGAGGCTGAATCTGGACAAGAGGCCAAATTTCTTCTAAGCTCACGAGAGATACAGAGATCATTTGTTTCCTGTTCTGAACTTAATTTGGTATGTGGGGGGAATGGGCTTCTTCACTCTCCTGTGCAGACTTCCCAGCCTGAGAGTGGGAGAAGCGTGACAGACCTGCAGCGACCCAGAGGTGCGCAGGCTGCACCAGCACCGTCCGTATGAGAAGCACAATGTGTAGCAAGCGTGAACGCTAACTTCCTACCTGGTTTGAAACCGGCTCTGAATCCTACGGCTCACTTCCTTTGTAAAGTCAAAAATGTCAGAAGACTTTCCTATAACATCAATGTGAGTGTCATAAGGAATGATCAAAACATAGGGGTAACGAGGTTTCAGACTTTCACACGCCCATTTGTATCTCCGCTTTTCATCTCTGGTGTGCTTTTCAAAGCAGATCCTTTCTTTACGTAAAGCGTTGTGGAGTTTCACAGACCGACTTTCAATTTTCTCTCTGACTTTTAATACCAGTCCAGCATCAGACCTACTTCCAGCATTCTCAATATATACCGTAGTTATATCACCCTCAGTGATGTTAGAAATTACAAGATCATAATTTACTAGGAATGTCCTGGGAAAAAAGTACTTCATGTAGTGATATACATCTGTGTCAAGAACAACCGCTTGTTTTTCCCCATCTGCATCATGAACGAAATTACCCGCCTCCGTGCTCAGTCTGTGCTGCTGTAGCCTCCTCTTTGGTCTCAGATGGGACTTACCTTCTTCTCTTTTGTCCTTCTCTGAAAGGGATTTTGCTTTTAGCAAGAGAAAGTCTCTTAGCAATTTGATTGCTGGAAATGACCCTTGAACAGAAATATGCCCATTGGACTGCAAAGGACCAAAGCTCAACGCTGCACTCTTCATTTTAATTTCTTGTATCAGGTCTTCTAAAACAAACTGATCTTTGAAAACAGACATATTGAGGACAGATGTGACAGAGCTGAAGACCTAGAATTTTGAATTAGAGAAGTTAAGTAACGGTTTACATAGCAATGGGAGCACAACTAGATAAATTACGAATGAGCTTACATTTTCACAGTAACGGGTTACTTTCAGCGGATAGCGTCTGGACAACCGCTTGTCTTCTAGTAGATGTTCGTCCTTCTTTAGAACACTCTCTACAACTAAAGAGAAAGCCAGATCCACTTGTGCAGCGAGATAACACGTCATTGCCAGTCTGATGGCGGAACACTGCGTGGGTGTTTTTCTCTTGATGCTTTCCTTAACAATTTCCCATACATACACGCAGGTGGTTCAATATTCTTGCCTAATATCTTACATATTAGTCAAAATTGTTCAGAGAGAGACAGAAGCCTGTCCTCTTAGAACATTAATTGGCAGGGATTTATTCTCAAAGGCCTGACTATAAAAATCGTATCTGTCATGCATGGTATAAATTTATTCCTAAAACGAAACACAAGAAACGCGTTGCATGAAGCCCGCTCAGAGTCCTGACTTCAATGAAGAGAAATACAATCCTAAAATTTTGATTGACTAAAAGAGAGGTGTTAGTCTCCCAGTTCTATAAAATCCTAGTACCAGTGAAGAATTTAAAATGACGTGGTTTAGGGTTAACATTCTAGGGCTAACTCTTTGGGGGACGGCTGTATTTACTATAGTGTATTAATCTAAATACCTTTTTCATCTTCAAAAGTTACATACGCAACTCCTTTTTTCCTTGTCGGATACATTACTTCTTCCACATCTCCACCGTTATTCTTCGACATTTGGAAATGAATGATCAGTATGTCAGTCATGACGTCGTCCTGCAGCAGGCCATCTGGAACACCAGCGATGACGACCGTCCTGGACGATTTCGCAGCTTGTCCTGCTGCCTGCGCACAGAGACACGGCACACCGTAAGCGCGAGGAGTGCCCGTGACCTCCCGCAGAGGTTACCCGGATTCACCCCGGCTGATCAAGTGACCCCCCCCTTCCTTTTGCACACACAACATCAGCGTTTACCAGCTGATTAAGACGACTGCCGAGTCAGATTTCAGTGAATACCATGCTCCCTCAGGCACCTTTACATTACCGTGCATTAAAAAACGGCCTAACTCTTAAGCATAAATTACACTCTCTCAGTATCTTCTTTTCTTCAAGCAGTAAAAATTAGAGCTAAATTTAATGGCTTCTCAAACAAAAGGTCCAGTGTAATACTAATAAGGTTGTTCCTTCCAATTCTAATATTCAAAATTTGAAGAGAATGACAAATTTTAATTGCATGTGCTGTCGAGTAAGGAATGTCTTTTCAGAGTGGAAGGGTCAGATCCCGGCTGTCCTTCCTTGTTAAATTCACCAGAGCCGGGATCCAGGGCTGTGCTCTGACTCGTCTCTCTCCACCTCTGGAATGGAGAACCTCGTTACATGGCAAGAACACAACCCCAGCCACCTGAGGCTCGCAGTGCGTGAAACAACTGACCACGAGCACGATTTCCATCAGAGCCGAGCCCCCCAGCGCCGCGAACACGAAACCCATCCCAAACAGGATCTGCATCCACGCCTTGTTGAGAAAAGCGTATTTCCTTTCCAGTCTTGTTACACAGGCACAAACAGTAATATTGCACTGGGAATGTCACAGCAACGTTACTGTAAATGGTGGAACCCCAAGCGAATTTTCACAGAATCACAGCATGTTAGGGGTTGGAAGGGCCCTCTGTGGGTCACCCAGCCCAACCCCCTGCCCAAGCAGGGTCACCTACAGCAGGCTGCAGGTGACCTTGTCCAGGCGGGGCTGGAATATCTCCAGAGAAGGAGACTCCACAGCCTCCCTGGGCAGCCTGGGCCAGGGCTCTGTCACCCTCAGAGGGAAGAAGTTCTTCCTCGGGTTCAGCTGGAGCTTCCTCTGCTTCAGTTTGTGCCCGTTGCCCCTTGTCCTGTCGCTGGGCACCACTGGAAAGAGTCTGGCCCC